CCGCCTCCGTTTTCTGGGACCCCCGCTGACCCTAAGGCCAAGCTCCTTGCTTTTCCTCCCCAGACATTGGCAATCCTGAGATTTAAAGATTTAAATCGGGCACAATTCTGCGATTCGACCCCTCCCCGCAATGTACACATTTAAATAATTACAGCATTTGTAATCCACTTAGAAAAGTGGTATTTTTGACGGAAACACTTAAGAAACAATCCGCTCCATATACCCATCTATCCAAATGGCTCAAATTTAGAATAATTCTTTTGAGATGGAGTCTAAATATATGCAGATAGAAGTTTCTGAAATGTCATATGCTCTGGAATCGTTTGCATGAGAAATCTTCCTGAGGGAGGGGCTAGCGGCTTCTGCAGGATGTGGGAGGGGTGCAGGTAGGGAGAGGGACTGGGGGAGATGGGGGCCTGAACACCCCGTGGTGTACTCTCAGTACTCCATATTAGAGGGGTGGGGAAGGGTCCCCTGGTGAGGAGTCCTTTGGATGGGATGCTAGCCAAGCCCCGCCCACCGTCTTGTCCCACCCCTGGGTCCCTTTGTTTGGGGGTCTTGTTTTCTGTGTGCACTGAGGTCCTGCCATATTCATGGCAACAGTGGCTGGCAACCTTAGTGGCGACGGCATCAAGCCAGGAGGAGTTATGCCCCATGTTCTGGGAGGAGGGAGGTTCCGGAAGTCATCCTGGAGGCGGGAGGGCTGGGCGGGTTTTGAAGAACAAGTAGGAGTTCTCTGAGGAAAACAGAGGGAGGAGCTTCCTAAACCACAGCCCAGGCATTCCGTCCCGCCCCCCGCAGGTAGGTGGGGGCTCCACGTGGGACTCTAGTCCCCTTAACCCAGCAGGGAGCCAGTCACCCCGTTCAGTGAGGGGGGCTGCCTCTGAGTGCTCCCCATTCAGGGGATCAATTAAACAATTAGAGCTGCCCAACCCTGCAGAAGTGGTAATTGGACCCCAATCAGGAGACCAATCAGGTTAATTGGCCCAGCTGCCAGCCTCTAGCCTCCTCCAATCGGGCAGGCTGTTAGGAATCATTCATCACAGAGGTTGACAGTGGACAGCTGGGACACCCAGGGGGCAGGGCTAGGGGCTGAGAGGTGATCTGTGGGGAGCCTGGGGTTGCCTGCTGCCCCGCCCAGTCTGCCCTGCCCCGCCCAGTCTGCCCTGCCCCCTGCCCCTCTACGTGTCAGCCCGTTGCAGCAGGGCCTCTCTGCTTTGGACATGCTGTCCCCACAGCCAGGACCACTGCCTGTCCATCTGGGCATGCGTGTGACATGCATTTGGGTTTGTATCAACCCTACAGGACTGAGCAGAACGACTCCATTGGGATATCTAGGCCTTTTGGCCCTTTAGGACCAGCACTGGACCACAAGGTCAAGTTGAACCTCAAGGTTAGGAGTTAGAACCCACCAGCTGTTCCTAGGAAACCCTGTACAGGGTCACTATGAGTCGGTCCCAACTCGAAGACTCTTAACAACAACAACAACCACCTTTACGGACACAGGTCACTAGGTCTCTCTCCCGGGAGTCGCGAGGTCAAGGCCACAACAGAGAGGATGTGGTCATGTTCAGTGAGCAGTTGACCGAGTGACCATCTCAGCTCCAGGACTCTGTGTCACTTCTGGGCAACTCCTTTTAGCATTTCTGATTCCGGAATCTCTCCCAAACATTGCTTTGAGTCTGGATGGAGGTGACTGGCTGGTGCCTCCCCACCCTGGCCATGGTCTGTCCTGCCTGTCCAGCCATCTGTGGACAGTCTACTGGCCCCGCCTTCAGAGCAGCTGTGGGTGAGCACCAGGTCTCTGCAAGAGTGCTCGGGGTGGGGGGCTGACCCTTATCTAGCGAGTCCCTGCTGGGAGCACAGTTGCCCCGGCCTCCTGGGAGGTGGAGCCCTGGGAGAGGCTGCAGGGACCCAGTGACAGAGGCCCCCTTGCTGCCCCGCATGCACAGCCTCTGAGTCCAGGAGGGATGGGCTGGCCAGACAGAAAGGGGCCTCCCCCCTCAAGAGCAGTGTTACAGCAGAGCCCATGCCCCTCAGTCCCCGCCACCTCGGGCAGTGACCACCTCTTATCCAGAGACAGTGGGCCCAGTACCTGCACTTCCCTGGGCCAGCATGGGTGTGGACTGGAGTGTCCTGGGACCCCATCCCACTCTTTCTTGCTCTTACTGCTGGTGAGGCTTCCAGCTGTTCTCGAGAAGCTCAGAGGCATGGGAGCTGGATGGGGGCAGGTTCCAGGCCTGGCCATCCACTCTCAGTCCTGCTTGACCCTGGACCCCTCCCACTGGCAAGACTCCGGAATGGAGGCTGGGGGATATTCCCTCCAGTGGACAGACCTGGTGATATTTAAGGTCAGATTCATCCTGTCTCCTTCAAGAAGTCCCTTCTAGGCAGGATCTGAAGGTCACAGGGGTGGTCAGTACTTACGGAACTCTCATCAGCCAGGCTATATCCAGGGCCGGCCCCTCCCATCTCACCAGGAGATGGACAGCTCCTTAGCATTCCAAGTGGAGTGGGGGTGTCTGGCTGGCCCTGGCCCCCAGCCCCAGCCCAGCTAACCCTCACAGGCTGTACAAGTGCCTAGGGCCTGCATGCCCGGTGTCTGATGGGGACAGATGCCACTCTCCCAGGGCTCTGCCTATGAAGGTTGCAGGTGGGTCCTTCCTGCTCCATCCTGACTTCACACGCACACATCACATCTGCAAAGACCAGGTGCCCACACAGGGTCATGCTCACAGGCACTGGAGTTCAGACTTTGGCATGTCTCTTTTTGGGTCACATGTCAGTTTCCATGTCTGTCAGAGGGTGGTGGTATTGAGAGGGGGGCTTGGAGACACAGACAAGTAGCCGGTGCAAGAGACTGGAGCAGGGTGGGCAGGGAGGCGACTCTGCCTGTGTTGAGAGGGGCTGTCATATATCCAAGCCAAGATGGGTACCCTGGGCTCTGCCTGTCACCCCCACGCCTGCCTCTTCTTGAAATTGGCCAAGCGTCCAGGTAGAGGTTTGGTGATGGGGGGCTGGCGGGCATTCTTCAGGTGACCTCTCCAATGGACTCCTGTCATTTATCCTCCACTCTTCTGGGCCTATGGGCTTATAGTCTGTGTTCAAGCCTCCTCCCCCAGCTCCAGGGCCCCTCAGCTCTCTCCATTGGTAGACCTGGTGGGTGGGCCCGGGTTGGCAGAGAAGGGCCCAGAGCCCAGGCCTGAGGTCCTAACACACCACCTGGGGGATGGAGGTGAGAAGGGGCTTGGCTGGCTGCAGCACGGGCATGTCTGACTGGAGGTGCCACACTGGGCTGGGCTCTGGGAGGTGATAACAGTAACATCACTCAGGGTCCCTGCATCCCCCAAAGGTTCCAGTGCTCAGATAAAGCCCTGCACACCAAGGGGTGCTTCTCTGCTGGGGGCCCCAGAGGCTAGGCCGTGGGTGGGGACCAGAACTGATGCATCTTCTGCCCCGGCTCCTGTGTGTGTGCCCTCCTGGGACCAGGCAGTGCAGCCCAGGCTCAGGGTCAGGTGTGTGTATTCTGGGAGTTCTCTGCCCACCTGTGCTATGCAGTTCTAGTTCCCTGGCTGGTCCCCCAGAGCTGGTCCTGACTGTGGGCACAGTTAGGGCAGGACCTGCCACCCAGTGTTGGCTGAGTATGAGCACAGTCCAAACATGGTGGGCCACGGTCCTGATGTGACTGCCCTGAGCCCGAGAAACCCCAGCACAGAAGGTGCAGCCGAGAAGCTGAATGCTTCTGTCTCTATGGGTGAGTGTGTCAGTGTGTGTGTCAGTGTGTGGGTCTGTATGAGTGTGAAGGCAGTGCTAGTTTCTGTGTATCTGAACATGTGTGGTGCTAGAGTGTCTATGTATGAGTGAGTGTGAATGTGAGCATGTGTGAGTGAGTGTGAATGTGAACAAGTATGAATTTGAGTGTGAGTGAGCAAGTTGAGTAACTGAGCAGGTATGGGTGTGAGTGTGAACAAGTATGTGTGAAAGTGAGT